GTATGTGGATGGTGGATAACTCATATACTCCTCGTGAAGAATCCACTTGATAGCACGCTTTTGGAGGCCCTCCAGCTTGCTTATCTGGGATTTTGTGACTGGTCTCCATATAACCGAGCAATGCTCAAATAGGCTCCTCACTAAAGTGAGATACAGTACTCTACGACGATTTACGTCTTGGACAAAATAACAATTTCTTCTCGCCATGCCTAATTTTTGGTTTGCCTTAGAAAGGACTTTGGAGCACTGATCTTTCCAATCGAGATTTGATGTCACAATTACACCCAGATCCTTTTCATGATCAACATAGTCAAGTGTGATTCTTCCCATGGAGTATACAAAGTTAAAGAGTGGTAGGACACTAAGGAGGGAAACTGTTTCGGATATCCTTCCTGCGACGGTGAGGACCTTACATTTGTCGGGATGAAATCTCATTTTATTAGAAAGTGACCAGTCATGGAGATAATCAATGTCCTTCTGCAGTCGCAGGATATCAGACTCCGAAACAATCTTACGCCAAATTTTAGTATCATCGGCATACAGTGACAGTTGTGTGCCTGGTGAAATCCCCACTGATATATCATCAATGAACATAATGAACAGCAATGGTCCCAAAATTGACCCTTGAGGTACACCAGACTGGGCGTTTCTCATAGAAGAAAACTTGCCACTTATCAAGACCTGTTGTTGCCTGTCTCTTAGATAATCAGTGATGAATTTCAGTAGCCTCCCATCAATACCAAATTTGCTCTTTAGCTTAAATAATATAAGATCATGGTTAACCGAGTCAAATGCTTTGGCAAAATCAAAGTAGACTACATCTGTTCTCATATTTTCATTCAGTGAGAGCGCTAGGCTGTCGCACAGTCCTACAAGATTAGTTGCACAAGATCTCTCAGCTCGGAAACCATGCTGTTTGTCATTGATCATGCCATTAGTAAGTGCCAATAACTCATCTCTTATTATGCGTTCAAGAACTTTTGTGATTAAGCATGTAAGAGAAATTGGCCTATAATTTGAAACCTCATGTTTATCCCCTTTCTTGAATATTGGTACAATGTGCCCCAGTTTCCACTCCCTTGGTAGTGTCCCAATGTTGTAGCATGAATGAAAAAGTATTGATATAGGGTATGCGAGCCCAACCGCACAGTTTTTCAAAAGTTTCCCATGGATACCATCAGGTCCATAAGCTTTATTAGCATTAATATTGGAAAGGATTTTGCGAACCCTTCTGTGGTCAAATTCAATATCAAAGCGCCAATCATTAGAGTAATCTATATCTATGTCATAAGTTGATGCCTCAGAGAACTGCTCGAAGAAAAAGTCATTAAATAGGTTGGCCTGGTCTTCAGGGCAGTTGCGGACAGTGCCTTTGTGGCTTACAAACTCAGGGATCCGCTGACTAGCTGTCTTCGATTTGACATAGGACCAAAATTTTTTTGTTATTAAAGCACTATCATCAGATTCATTTAATGTTTCCCTCATTTTTTGAGCAACCACATTTTTGAAATTTTTCCTAGCAAGGGAGAATGCAATTTCAGCTCTATCACTTTTATGCCTTTCTTTATGTAATCTCACTTTCTTACGCCATGCATCATAACACTCCGAGTCAAACCATGGATCTTGGCCATCAGTCTTGACAGAGCATTTTTTAACAAATTTATCTGTGACATTAAAAAGTTTGTCCTTAAATTTTTTCCATCCAATTTCAGGTTCTGTGCCATTGAGCAATGCATCCCAATTCGTGTGTCGGAGTTCATGGTTTAGCCTCTCCCAGTTCACAGTCTTAAAGTTATAGCACATACGCCTGACTGGCTTCTTCCTACCAACTTTAACGTTGATCTTAAAATTGATGGGGAAGTGGTCAGACTTGCAAGCACTATCTCTCTCACCTACCATTAGGTCATTAATATTTGACACAGAGTTTGTGAGCAATAGGTCAAGTGTTTTGCCTTTGCAGTGGGTAGGTGTTAACACACATTGTTGAAGGCCTAGATCAACAAAAGATTCAACAAAAGATTGCTCAATAGGACAGGAGCTGGCCAGGGTAGACCAGGAAACTCCGGTCAGGTTAAAATCTCCTAGTATGAAGACTTTACTCAGTCCTCTTCTTCTGAGAAGAGTTTTCAAAGACTCAACAATTTTTTCATGATTTGCGGAGCCCAGTGTACCAACACGATAACATGTGCATACAACAAACTTAATTCCAGTGGATGTCTTAAATTCCACAGCAAGAATTTCTGCACCATACTTGAGATGAACTTCCTTTGAAGTTAGATCAAGGTCTGCTCTCACTGCAATCATGACCCCTCCACCATTCCTCCTAAACCGGGTTGGATTAGAAGGATCTGGTGGATGAGTTTTCTTCGATCTATCAGAGCGAAATATCTTATATCTGTCAGGGTGCAGAAATTCACTATCAGCAATAGAACTCTTAAACCAGGTTTCGTTAAGTATTGCAATATCTATCTTAGCCTCATTAAGATAAGTCGACACTTCAAGACATTTAGTGGTATCAATCATTGGATGGGCATTGTTCAGTTCACCAAAAGGGATGAGACCTTGAACATTCTGAAAGTAAACATTCAATTTATTACCATTCCCAACTCTAACACCTATGGGAGACGGCCCTGGGTTTACAATTCCAGGGTTTACTAAAACTATCAAAAAACCATTCATCAAAAACAACCAAATTATGCATCCCGTGAGTGTATTGCCGGTTCTACCAGTAAATATGCAATTTAAGTTCTTATGGATTGAAATCTGGCAAAATCTATATAAACCATCGAAACTGTAATTATTCCTCAGATAATACATATTTGCTAAATATAAAAAGAAATAAACTGTAAAGCATCGGCACAAGTTAGGAACTGGGTATGTTGGTACAAAGGCTCGGCAATCATAAGTGACCCTAGAAAAAGCCAACCCACTTACCCCGACATATGTGATAGTGATTAGCGAAAAGTGACATATGAATATAACATAAAAAATATAAAATAATAAGCGAGAATCAATGCAGCTGTCTAAATAATCAAAAATACTACCTGTACCACGTCTACGGTTCTGATGTTTGATGGATTTTGCAAAAGAATTTCCACTAAACACTCCAACTCTAAATCTGTATGTTACTAAATCGATCATGGTGTTTTACAGGTGAGTATACTTGCCAGACTACAACTGCATATCATTAGCTTAACAAGGTTCAGAAGACAGCACAAAAGAACTACTGATAGATATAAGGATTAAAATATCTACTGTGGATGGCACGAATATAAAATCTGGCCAACACACCCATACCTTTCTGAGGATTGGGGTGAATGCCTTTGTTCTCAAATAAGGGATCAAATCTCTTAACAGGCTCACTTAGAGCTCTCTTAAACTTTGTAAAGGGATAAAACACATCCATGAAAAAGAACCTCCTAAATACACACTCATTGTATAAAATCCTATTAAAATCCATTACCCTCTTGTTAGTTAATTTATCGTTATCATTCTGTAAAGGTAATGGCAATAGAGATTGAACATATACCTTACAGTTGGGAAATAATAGGCCTATCTTACCAAAAAGTTGCTTTACTGGTCCCCTCAAAATACCAATTTTATCCCCCACACGCCTAATATCGTTTGTGCCTACGCTGATCAGAAGCTTCTCAACGTGGACATCAGGATGTGCCGTGCAGTAGTCCTCCAACTGTTTCTGGACTTTGTCCATTTTTGCTCCGCCTTCTGCAACATTTACGACTGTGACTTTCCCTTTTCCCAGCTTTGCGGAGTCCAATCTTTGAGCATAAGAGTCTCCAGCAACCAACGTGACTCTTTGCGCAGGTACTTGGGCTTCGGTGCCAGAAGCTGGTGTACTAGTCTCTGTGCTGATATTCTGAGAGCTAACTTGGCCACCAGATTTCACAATAGCTCGAAATGACAGGGAGTATCTTACTTGCTCCGATTTCTTTGGAGGCTCTCCCTTTGTGGCCGGCTCTGCTCGCACAGCATGCCTCAGATTCTGCTGTGTCCCAGGCCGCATTACAACAAGACTGTTGTTCTTCATCCTTATCGTCTTGACACAATTAGGTTTCCCAGTTGTGCCCTCGTAAAACTCAAGCGTCCGTTCACATCCCAGTGAGAAAGAGCAAATCGATTTCTCCTGGTCCATTAGTTTCTCACCGTCATTGTGTATTGAAGTACTCGCTTGGTTGTTTCCATACTTGATGACCAGACATGAGTCCAGAGGTCCAGTTATCTCCGTACTCGAGTTTACAAGACTCAGGAGTCTTTTGATATTAGGGAAACCACTGATATCCTGTGGTGGGTGCACTGGATTTGTGTCAGTGTAAATATAGGGTGCATCCTGTGAGCACAACCAAGCTGTTGTTGCCTTGTGTCTTCCCTCGGTGTTCAGTTTCTGCAGGGACTCACATTCAACCCATACCGCATCACGGAGAACCTCATCCTCGCAGAAGTCCTCTATATGTAACACAAAATTGTCCACCTTTCCCTCACGCTTTGGCAGCTCGTTTTGAACAGAGTTAAGGATATGACGTAGATCCTCAACTGAGGCAGCTTTGACATAGTCGAAAATCTCTTGAAGGTTTATCATTGTTGTCAGAGATTGTCGAGTCTGGCAGCAAAGTTTGCCAGGGAACCATCCGTAACACCTCAGAGTAGGCAACCTCCCACAGCACTAAACACGACCTGGAAGGAAAATGGCACGAGAAAATGTGTAATGAAACTGCTGGTCGGGAGTAAAGTTAAATTTGCCAGTGAAAATATAGCTAGAGTAAGGATAAGAGGGGCAATATCAGAGATGTAAAAATTCACATTCAAAATAAGCTAACAATGAGAAAGAAGTAAAAGAGAAACTTACATCGTGTTTAAGGTGTTGTTGCCCAGTGCAAGCACTGGGCGAGAGGAGCCTAACTCAGGAGGCGAACTTCAGGAACCCCAGCGCACCCGCATACCAGGAGATCGGCTGTACTTCCTAGCCCGTCATGCCATTGTACATGCCTAAAATTATTTGTTATATAGTAGTGTTGAAAGTATTAAACCCTGATATCATTGGCTATCAGGGTAAAAGTATTGCCCCAGTAAGTGTAGAGGATCTCCCAGTTACCAAGTCAAGCCCCAGAGTTGTTGAAGAGCAGTTAGAACCCTTACAGCCCCATTCTATTCATATAGTTATCCAGATCAAGTTTAGTGTGGTGAAACTGATGAGAGTTCGCCTCCTAAGAAGAACAACTGTGTAATAGGGCTGTTTGAGGATACATTATACCCAAGGGAGGTCCTCAGTGTGAATGGGGATTCTGCAACCATAACTTTCATGAGTTCTATTAAAGGATCTACACGTTACTGGATTTGCCAGGATTTGGCAAGTTAGGAAAGGCACTCATACCTTACAGACAATCGGTATTGATATGAAGGTACGACCAAGACTCACGTAACTAGGTGTTGCTATGGGTTGCTAGGGGCCTACATAGTGAGGAACCCTAACATCAATAGTTTAATTGTAATCACTTTACTGTTTTAAACCGTTGTTACCATGACCCAGGTCAATTTTCAACAGTTTTGGGTCAAATAGTGGTATTTTATGCCTTATTTTGCATGTAAATCGTCGTTGCTATGGGTTGCTAGGGGCCTAAATAGTGGGAAAACTTATCTCCCTGAAGTGTTAGACATTAGTTACCATTTTATCTCCCAATACACAACTGTCATAGGGTTTATAAAGGATAACTAGTATAATATTTATGGATAAAGTTATAAAAAACCCTAATTTTCACTGAAATCTCAATTTTTCGTAAAAAAAGACGAGTTTCCATGGTTACGGGCACCCAATATGCCTCCAGATGAGCTCTGGAAGCTTGAAATCATCAACCCTACCTGGTATGTTAATAATAATCAACATTCATTAGTAACAATAGAGTGTAAGATATTAAAATGACATGTATTAACCTCTAAAATGCCTAAAACGCCCCGTTGCTAGGCGTTGCTAAGGCCCAAAAATACCACTAAAACACCTAACATCATGTTTTTATACCTTTTATAGTTGGCATACAAGTTACAATATACAATAATGGTCTTTCTGGATACTTTTGGCCATGTTAAAAGTCTTTGAATGGCAAAAAGGGGTAAAAACAAACATTTTGGCTGATTTCGCTTAAATGTTTTTCAAAACGACCCGTTTCCATGGATACGGGCACCCTGGGGGTCTTCAGAAAATTTTTAGATGGCTGAAATCATTCACCCTACCTGGTTTGTCAATAATGATTCACAATCATGGGTAACAATGAGGTGTAAAAGGTGAAAATGAATTAAATAAAGCCAATTTTAGTCAAAAACGTAAAAAATGACCCTCCTGCTAACCGAAAACGGGGCGGGAAATATTTATTTTGGGCTTTTTTGACCCCAAACCAAGTTATTTTTTCATTTTGGAGGTCCCTTTACCCAAAAAACAGGGCCGTTTAAAAATTTGGAAAATTTGCATTTTCGTGCCCACCCCTACTCTTAAGATACGGGATCGGAGTCAGAGAATAACTCAACAACTGCTGGATTCAGATGGTTACATTTGCTTTCGAGGGAAGGACACTAGGACAAGGATACAGCCCCCTCTTCTTCTTGTTGTTTGGGTACTACCTGTTATGCCAAGGCAAATGAGGATGAAAAGCAGAAGGGTTAGACTGAGGAGGAGCAAAAGCAAAATTATTATGGTAATACCCGCCAGGCCAATTAGGAGGAGGATGAGGAAAATCAGGATAAGAGAGATGAGGAGCAGCAGCAGAAGGACTAGAGCGAAGAGGAGTAACGGCAGAAGGGCTAGAGCGATGAGGAGCAGCAGCAGAAGGACTAGAGCGAGGAGGAGTAACAGCAGAAGGGCTAGAGCGAGGAGGAGCAACAGCAGAAGGACTAGAGCGAGGAGCAGCAGTAACAGAAGGTTTCTTTATCACCTTTCTGAGAAGTTGAAATACCCACTTGAGATCTTCAGGTGATGAACAAACTTGTTCAAGTACATCAAAAAGTTTCTCTGCTATAATAGGAGTATTCTGTTGACAAAGATACAGATCACATTTATCAAGAAGATATTTGCAGTTATCAGCCACATCCTTACCTTCTTTAGACAGACTATCTTCAAGATAATGTGTTACTGGTTTAACTACAAACTGATCATTAGTAGGTCCAGCCAGTTCCAATATCAAGTCCAGCTGTTGATGAGAAAGAGAATGCAGGTTTTCTTTAATGCACCTGGAGATAAAATCCTCCTCTCTATTCCCTGACCTGATCTCATCAAATGCTATCTGGACAATCTCCCGAGACTTCAGCTTCTCGAGGGCGAATGCAGCTTCGTCAAACAGAAAAACTAAATCCTGATAAGTAGGTTCTTCGATTGCCTTAGCAATACCGGTGAAATGCTCTGAACATCTGGTCACTAACCACGTGACGTTAAACACATGACTCATCTTGTTAATGTCTCTGAACATGTCTCTAGAGATCAGAGGAGTTTCTCCCGAGTAGGCAGCGTCTACAAAATATCTCACAGCTTCTTCGCTGAACTCCTCCATATCCACACTGGTCAGATGAAGAGTTGTGGTCATGTGATCTATCACGGGACTGTTAAAGGACAGGATCACCGAACTGGCACGAACTGTGGCCCCGTTTTTGGTTTTTAGTGCTAGGGTACTGTGGGTCGGAGAGTCCAGCAAGTGTCTTCCAAAGTTCATTGGTACTGTAATATTGGGGGCCATTGTGTAGGATACTTTACCTGAGAACATAATTGGTAATTAGTTGATTAGTTACATCAATAGTTATAACTTTATAATAGATTTAATAGTAGGATATTACACCAGTGATCTTTATATGTGTCATACAGGAGATGCCATGTCGAATTTAAACAGATTCAAGTCAGCACACTACTCCAGGGAGTACTCCATCAGATTATAAACATTAAACAAGAAATGAAATAATGTGCTTGTATACCGCCCATATGGTTAGCAACTGACACAAGTGTCAGGTACTAACCATGTTAGAGCGGTTCTAAAGGGTGAGGTGAAAATATCTAGCAACAAACAACTAAATCATCTCAAAAACAAATCTATTCAGAAAAATTAAAACTTTAATTATATCTTATAGTCATTTTAGGAAGATTTATTGATATATACCACACTACGATTACTAACAAACCACCAGAAAACACTTCAAAAGTAACATATAGGAATCATAGGAAGGTGTATTGATATATTATTACACACTGCACTAATAAATAAAGATACACCCATAAAAAAACATAAGAACAAAATCAACAGCACTAATCACATACGGTCATTAAACAAGGTAATGCCAGTATCATCACTTTACTTTGAAATTACGAATTAATGATAATATCGCGAAATTGTGTAATCTATCGATTATAAGAATAACTGTCTAACATTTAAAAACATTGTTCTGTACCATAAACATGATAAAATTAAAAACAAGATAAAATACATGTTAATCGTCATGTGAAATCAAATTGGTATTAATTGAATTGCCTTATTTAAATTAATAATGTCTTCAGGAACAATAATATTGATATCAAAATTAATTCAGGACAGCGATTAGGTGTTTTTCTGGCTTGCACCATATTATGTCGTTAATCAAATACACAGTTATTTGTGAACAGTCTACATTTTATGCTATTGTGTAGATTGTAGAATGGATATTAATTGTTCATAGATTCCAGAAATTTCCACGGTTCTTTCGTTTCAAAAAGATTTATTATGAGCTTTTGAAAACAGTCCGAGTGTTCAACGTAAAGTTCAAATTTCACATCAATTATTTTGCTGAACTGCGGTTTTTAATTAAGGCGCTATCTTAGCAATCAAAGTTTTCAAAGATTTGCGGCCGTGCGTCTGAGATCGGCAACGCTACATTTATACGATGCTACACAAAATTTGTAAAGCCGAGAAATTAACTAATTTATGATTGCTAATCAAATTCGTTGGATTATTTATTTATTTCTGCCAAGCAAACGATTGAGGAGTAATAGCAGAGGGACTTGACTGAAGAGCAGCACCAAATAGACCAGAGCCAGGAGTAGCAGAGGGACTTGACTGAAGAGCAGCACCAAATAGACCAGAGCCAGGAGTAGCAGAGGGACTTGACTGAGGAGCAGCACCAAATAGACCAGAGCCAGGAGCAGCAGAGGGACTTGACTGAAGAGCAGTACCAAATAGACCAGAGCCAGGAGTAGCAGCAGAAAGACTTGACTGAGGGTGAGGAGGAGCACCAAATATACCAGAGCCAGGAGTAGCAGCAGAGGGACTTGACTGAGGAGCAGCACCAAATATACCAGAGCCAGGAGCAGCAGAGGGACTTGACTGAGGAGCAGCACCAAATATACCAGAGCCAGGAGCAGCAGAGGAACTTGACTGAGGAGCAGCACCAAATAGACCAGAGCCAGGAGCAGCAGAGGGACTTGACTGAGGAGCAGCACCAAATAGACCAGAGCCAGGAGCAGCACCAAATAGACCAGAGCCAGGAGTAGCAGAGGGACTTGACTGAAGAGCAGCACCAAATAGACCAGAGCCAGGAGCAGCAGAGGGAGTTGACTGAGGAGCAGCACCAAATAGACCAGAGCCAGGAGTAGCAGAGGGACTTGACTGAAAAGCAGCACCAAATAGACCAGAGAAAGGATCAGCAGCAGAGGGAGTTGACTGAAAACCAGCACCAAGTAGACCAGAGCCAGGAGTAGCAGCAGAGGGAGTTGACTGAGGAGCAGCACCAAATAGACCAGAGCCAGGAGTAGCAGAGGGACTTGACTGAAAAGCAGCACCAAATAGACCAGAGAAAGGATCAGCAGCAGAAGGACTAGAGCGAGGAGCAGCACCAAATAGACCAGAGCCAGGAGTAGCAGCAGAAGGACTAGAGCGAGCAGGAGCAGCAATAGAAGGAATAGAGCGTCGAAAAGCAGAAGGGATAGAGTTAGGAACAATGCGAGGAGCAGTAGTAACTGGTTTGTTCACCACCTTTCTGTGAAGTTGAAACATCCACTTAAAACTTTCTGGGGATGAACAAACTTGTTCAAGTACATCAAAAAGTTTCTCTGCTATAATAGGAGTATTCTGTTGACAAAGATACAGATCACTATTATCAAGAAGATATTTGCAGTTATCAGACAAATTCCTTTTAGACAGAGTATCTTCAAGATACTGTGTTAATGGTTTAACTACATACTGTACATCAGTAGGTCCAGCCAGTTCCAATATCAATTCCAGCTGTTGATGAGAGAGGGAATGCAGGTTTTCTTTAATATATCTGGAGATAAAATCCTCCTCTCCAATCGCTGACCTGATAAAATCAAATGCTATCCTGACAATCTCCCTAGACTTCAGCTTCGCGAGGGCGAATGCAGCTTCGTCAAACAGAAAAACTAAATCCTGATAAGTAGGTTTTTCAATTGCCTTAGCAATACCGGTGAAATGCTCTGAACATCTGGTCACTAACCACGTGACTTTAAACACGTGACTCATCTTGTTAATGTCTCTGAACATGTCTCTAGAGATCAGAGGAGTTTCTCCCGAGTAGGCAGCGTCTACAAAATATCTCACAGCTTCTTCGCTGAACTCCTCCATATCCACACTGGTCAGATGAAGAGTTGTGGTCATGTGATCTATCACGGGACTGTTAAAGGACAGGATGACCGAACTGGCACGAACTGTTGCCCCGTTTTTGGTTTTTAGTTCTAGGGTACTGTGGGTCGGAGAGTCCAGCAAGTGTCTTCCAAAGTTCATTGGTACTGAAACATTGGGGGCCATTGTGTAGGGTACTTTACCTGAGAAAATAATTTGTAATTAGTGAGAACAAATAATATCATCAAGATTAATATCTATAAATCAGCGATTACTAGGACACTAAAGGTTTCATTATCCATGACAAAGCTTACTAAAAGTACCTTGTTTGGAGAAAAATTTTCAAACCTATCTAAATTTATTCCCGATTCATAGAAATAAATATTTTAAGCTTCGGAACATTAAACATAATAACAGATCACACGCATTTAATGAAGATAAGTTGCATAAACATTTATAATATAAGTAAAAGTTCAATAAATAATCTCATTAGGTCGGGGTTTTTCTGAAAGCACATAACAGTGACAAGTGACAACACTGTTCATAAGGAAGAGGAACCATCTTATAATATCAAATTATTCCAAAAATTGTGGACCGGCTGCTATTCCTTTACAGATAACAATATAGGAATACGCACAGTTATTTGAGATTGTCAATTTTAAAATACAGATAAATCAATCCCCTTGCATTACTCATGTAGCTACTGCAGCTTGGCGCTTCCAATATCTCTCAATTGCTGATTTGATGGTATCTGGAGTGTTACGCTTCTTACAGGACTCCTTTACCAGTCTTACTCGCTCCTCCCGCTGCTCCGCTTCGGTCATCAACAACTTCTTCACCTCTGCAGGACCTGCCTCTTCTTCTCCTTCTTCTTCTTCTCCCTCTTTATTCTCCTCCTCTTTTTCATCCTCCTCACTATCAGAACTGTCACTATCGTCTTTATCCAGATTTTTTTCATCTTCCGATCCTTTAGCTTTCTCAGGTGATGTCTTCTCCGTTGTGTTAGCGCTACTAGTGGAAGGCTTGACTACTTCACTCTCAGTTTCACTATCAGATCCCCCTTCACTGGCAGTGTCACGTGACCTTACTTGGTCTGAAGTTACACGACGTGACCTGTACGTTCTTTGTTTTTCTGTCCTTATCTTTTTGATTACAGTTTTTTCTTCTGGAGATTTAGGTTCTGTTTGTGTTGGAGATGCAGGTTGAGGTTCTGAGGGCGCTGGAGATTCCTCCATTTCTTTAGCTGGAGGAGCAGCAGGTTTGGCTTGAGACACACTGCTAGCCACACTGGAAGCAACCTCAGCAGTCCGCTGTGATAGTATATCTCTGTAGAAATCAGTTAGATCCCGTTTCTTGGTGACATCATTCTTCTTCTCCTCTTCAGCCATGCGCTTGTGTTCTTCCTCCAACACCGCCAACTCCTGTGGAAAAACCAAATTCAGTTAATCATCACTTACAGTAACAATTACAGTATTTTATCTAATTAACGTTGTGACAACCTATTATAGTATTACACCGTTACAAGTAGATCAGGTTATAATAAAACTTTATCAATTAAAAGCCAATTAAGATCAAATTAAGATCCAGGAGGAAAACTAAGGAGCTTCGTACCGCAAGCTTGTTTTTGTAGGAAGAAGTAATGAATGATTCCTTGTCAGCAAACTCATCTCCTTCGTCTTCTAGTTCTCTCTGACATTGCCTTTCAAAATGTCTGAAAAGAATAGGTCTGGTTATCACGAATTAATTGTAAATTCCTTGCATTGTGTAAAACATCCATAGTTTCATACTCCTCCGAGCCTCCGACTATTTATAAGCTACTAAGCTAGTTTAATACTTAAAAATCATATTACATTCCAGAAAGTACCATCTAACAAAACGTGAAATATTATTATTTTAATGAGCAAAATTTGATAAATTAATTTGTTGTCCTACCTGTCATTCTCCAACTTCCTGACCGCAGCATTCCTGATGAGATTCTTAGCATACTTGGAAGTTTTATCTTGTTTAGCCACAGCAACCTTCTTCTGTTTGTCTTCCTTCATTGTGTCATATATCTCATCATACTGATACACTGAGGGGTCGTCCTGTGATCAATAATGTGTCTGTTAGTTGTTTTAATTAGTTAATTAGTTAATTCATTGAATAATTAATTAGTTAATTAGTTAATTAGTCGCTAAGTTTGTTAGTCGCTAAATTTATCAACAAATTAGTGAAGCACATCACACTGTTTAACACTCTTTCAACTGAAGTTGTTCTTGCAATGCATTTATAACAAGACTGAAGTCGAATTTTATGAACAATAACAACAGATTATGCTGACAATTTTCAAAAGATATCTGAAGAGGAACACAAACAAAGAACGAATATTTAAGCAGTTTATTCCACTTGAGACTAGCAATATATTATATTATAGTAGTATACTACTGCACTAGCCACTACTATATATATTATATTATACTACTATACCAACCTCGAGAGCTCGCTGAATGTCTATCTTTGCTTGTCTCTTCATATTCTTAAAAGCTGTGCTTGGTGCTTGTTTCTTAGGTGCCTCATCCTCCTCATCGCTGTCAATATTAAACACTGAACTTAGAGGTCGCTTCTTGACCGGGGCTGCTTCTTTACCTAACAAGTTTATAATTAGATAATTTGCTAATTAATTTGGAGGGGGATATTTAAAACATATAAGGGATACGAAAGATTTTATTAGCAGGAGCTTTCAAAATACTTGTGTAAATCGTCTTCAGCTTTTAATTAATTAGTTAAGTACTGCGTTACCAAACAGATTTGCAATTAGTTCATAGTTGGTTATTTAAATAAGTTAAAAGCAAGAGTTACTCAATATCTTCACACTACTGCTACAACTGCTAAGTTTGGATCTTCACACTGTAAATATTATACTTTCTGTATAATATATATTAAGATGTTTGTACCATGAAGCTTAGTTAACAAAAACCTACTTTTTGGTATGATAAGACCATATTTCTTCTTGTATTCTGGTCCGATTGACATCTCCCCTAACAAGTATTTTGTGGTTATTTTATGAGGGTTGTCATTATATAATATAGATAGATTTAATAAAATAAATATTCTTAATGAACAAATTATTTACCTATTCGTATTTGATCCAGGAATTTAAAGCAACTTACATTAGATGAACATTGAACGTGTAGAATATGACCATACATATAAAAGTACAGTACAATATGTAAACAAGAGGGTTATATAATTTGAATATTCGACACTCCCGCCACTATTTGGGATTTTGAGTTATGAGAAGATGGAGAAAAGTAAAACAAGCGTTATTAAAATAAAAGAGTACAGAAATGATAGATCTCTAGAAAATTAAACGATTCAGAGAATTAGTGATCCTCTGTTATAATCGAACCTAATTTTGATAGTCAAGGTGATAAGTCTGTCAAATAGCATTCGGTACAATAAATCAGGTTTTTAAGAAAATTTAAATTCATATTCGAAACTCAATTTTTTTCATTTAAACTATGTATTTTCAACACTCTCAGACTAGAAGGAGATAAAACTTATTAATTTCCTAAGATTAACTAAAAAAGCACAATTGATTCTGACAAACCGTCTCAACAAAATCACGTGCTTAAGTTGACAAATTCCTGCCCTAAATTATCACGAGATAAAATTCATGCACAATTAAAATGGAGTCAGATTTTATATCAATAATTAAATGATTAAGTATCTTTCAGGTAATGACGTTCAAATACAGGTTTCCATAAATATAATTTTCAAAACCTTGACCTACCAATTAAAATCAAACAGCATTATCCAAAACGACAAATTCAGAAAGATTGCCAATTCACCTATATTGGTTACTTTAGAAACAATCAGGAAAATTATCAATACTTATCACAAAGAACAATAACGAAGTAATAGAAACAGCACGATAATTAACCAATTAACCAATTAACCAACACATTAAAGCTGGACTTCCTTCTCGAAGAGAGCTCACCTAGGAGCTGATATTTTTGGGTTTATACTGAATCTTTACCAAAATATTCATCGTGTGAAAAATAAATAGTCTTATTCTTGGTCAAAAATTTGGTTACAAACACTAAATTTTATCACAGAAATTATATTATCCCTATTTTTGCGGATTCAAGTCCAGAGAGTATCTTAAAGTCTCAAAGTTTCTCAGATTTTCACCACCAATCCCATCATTTGATGCAAATCATTCAAACATTTATTAGTCTTCTTATTCTTATTACTCACAGAGCGACCAATCGAATCAGAGTGCGTTATTTTAGTCACGCGATGGAGAGTGACCAATCAGAGTGCGTTATTTTAGTCACGTGATGGAGACTGACCAATCAAAGTGCGTTATTTGATCTCCTCATCAAACTCGGTGTCGTCTCTGCTATCGGAGGGAGATTTGCGCTTCCTAGTAGGTGTAAGTCCGTACGTCTTGTTGGCTTTAATACCCGGGTTTTTATCGAATATGCCACTGTGCTCCGTAGACTGCTGCTGCGGACTGTTTCCTGCAATATTGGTATTTTACAAAGGTATGGTTAGCACAAAACATCTGGTAAGTTCACAATTGATGATACATACACGATATTTGTGAATTGTGAAGATACAGTGCACGAATATGCTAAGTTGCAAATTATCAGTCCGTATAACACACAAACCTTTGATATCAGGGATTTTCAAGACCAATAACGGTTTAGATGAGTTCTGAAGAACAATTTGTGGCTTAGGCTTTATCTTCTGGTAGGAATTAGTAGGTTGTTTCGGTAAAATTGTTTGCATTCCCGTTTTGTTACTTGACAGCTGAAGTTGAAAGGCTTTATCAAATCAAGTCAGAGATCTATTTAAACTTTTAAACAGATATCAAAGCATTTGTGTTAGAAAATGTAAACAGTTCACGTGTCTATTTATTATTAAACTTACAATGGGCATGACTTTGAGGATAAGGAAACTCTTCACCTCTTTGTTGACACCATTCTGAGTTGCTTTGCTAGGATTGCTAGGATCTATGGCAACATTCGGTGACCCATTACGTGGTGTACTAGTAGAATTTGAAGGGCCTTCTGATGACTGATGAGAGGTTGGCAAAATTACTTCCGGTTGTCTCTCTACTTTTTCTTGGACGTCTGCACCTGGCTCAGTCTTGGGTAAGACTTGTTTTACAGGTTTACCTTTAGCGGAGTTCTTGTAACACGTTCCGCTACAAGACAAATCTGGAAGACTCCTCGAGCCGGGAAGACTCCGCGAGCCAGGTACCATGTTCCGCGTCCTAGCTGTAGTCCGTATTTTATCAAAATCAACCAAACCCAAACTTCTGCTACTGAAAACTCTTTCTTTGACAGGGGCCTTATTTTTACTTTTTGAGGTTTTACTGACTTTATTATTTAACTTGCTGATCGAAGAAGGTAATAACGGTGTAAGAGTCTTGACTGTTTTGACAGGTCCACTAGTGGCCTGTGGAGGGACAACAGGGCGGGAGAACTGCCGAATACAGGAGCCTGAGTTTATTGTTTTCACTGATTTTTTATTAGAGGGAGGGAGCTGTGATGGTATTGAGAAATTATCTAGGTCCATCTGTGGTTTATAACTCGTTTTAGGCTGTACTTTTGGTCTTTTAGACATATCGTTTGAGAAAGATTTTAATTTAGGCCTCTTTTGTCCAGCAGTTTTAACGCTGATCTCGGCTGTGTCCTGAAATAAAAGATCGAATAATTAATGAGAATTCAGAAATAGTCAGAGAAAAACAAATCTTTCAAGAAGAATATTTAAAAAGAAATTTAAGAACAATACTTAAATTGTAAAAAGACTAACAGGGCAATCCAGTGTCTTCCAAAAGCCCTTGCATGACGTTTGAATGTGTTTCTGTAGAGTTTTAACAGAGGCAAATGTTTTTCTACAGACAACACACATAGGCTCGCCACTTGTAGATTCAGATGTTGAGAAAGAGACAGTGGGATGATGGTTGTTTGCTAGATGTGACAACAAACTTGACATATTCTTGTATTCAGCAAAGCAGTGCATACATTTCTTGTTCTTGTTCATTCTCGTCGAATAGCTCCTGGGGTGTTTCAAGAAGTGAAATTATTCAGTTTAAGATGGACAACACTTTAAGGAGCCTGTCAGTTCAAGTAGGTTTCTGAGATCATTGAAAACTGTGTCCTCCTTAATTTATTTTTAAGCATTTCTCAAATAGTTGGATAAGGTGACTTGTTTCAATATTATCATGCCGACAACATCTCTAAGAGTGCTAATTCATACTTTCAAAGCTAGAATAAATTTTCCTTATTGTAGCAGTAAATTAGAATTTGGGACTCAAAAATGGAATGTAATGGATAATTTCCAAGATTCAACAGTGTGTATGGCATGAAAAAAAGATAAAATAAATAAATAATTAACAGAACTTACAGAATGTCAGCTGATGTTATATGGGCAATTTCGGGCAAATGGTAACCAGGATTAAAATATAAAATTTTTAGCAATTTATTTTTCTTTGATTATATTTTGAAGCCAACCGTTTGCACTACCAGACATAAAAGACCGTTTGTAAATATCTTAATTTTCCTTTTTCCTATCGCATTTTGAAATTGCTGCAATTATTAGCAATTTTATATGTTAAAACTGCCATTTCTTCACATAGATCGAAAATGGAGAATATAACTTCCTAACAAACCATATTATCTTTTTCTATTAGCTACATCAGGTAACATTTAACGATTACCAACTTTTTGATACATGATTTATACCATTTCTGATTTATGCGCTCCCAAATATTTTTATTTTTTGAGTGAATTACTTGACAGCGATTACCAAAAAGTTTTTTTCTGTGCCAAATTTCCATCCCTTTTACCTTAAAACTGCCTTGTACTTCTAACTTTTATTGCAGGACATGATCAACTAGTTTTTAGAATGGATGGGCCTTCCAGTTTGTCAGTATAGGTGTCCAGTAATTCACATTGTCAAGTAATTCACAAGTTTTGTCCCTGTAATTCACATTGACTTGAAAGAATTATATAAAGCAATTTACGATTATGTAATGCAATAAGTGATGTCAATAAGTAATAATACATTGAAACTGGTAAAAATAATGAAGTTTATATCAAATTTTGATAATTTAATTCCATTAAAATGGTAAATTTAATTGTATTAAAAATTGTTAAAATACTTTTAAAACATGTAAAAACTGTGGTTACCTTTTTCTGTTCCAGGATATAATACCGATTACTATGCATGCTGATAGAAAGAAATTTATATCTAATTTTAATAATTTAACCCCATTAAAATGTTAATAATTGCAATAAAAAATACCAAACAGTAATTGGCCAATTAACAAATTAGTAGAAATTGAAAAATCATGAATTATACTGATATCTCTTCATTAACTCAAAAGAACGTAAGTTACAAAGCAGGGTGCAAACAAGAACCTCTTAAAGCAGCAAAATCTGCACTGAAAAGGCACACAGTGAATTACTGGACACAGGAATGTGACTTACTTGACATGAATGATAACATGTATATAACAATTAGAGTTTACATGGATAAACTTTTCAGTAAAGTAACCATACATACTTGCAAACAATGATTTAGTGTTTATGTACACCGCTTATTACACATTCAGTGTACACACATGGGCACAAAACGTGATGTTTCTGCAGAATTATAAATAGTGTAAATTTTGCCCTGTGAATTACTTGACATTTTCAAATGCCCATAACTCATGAACTACAACACATAAAAGGTTGTGGTCTTTTGCATCATCAAGCAAATGGTTCCACCTTGCTTTATAACACCTTTTCATGCTTGTATATTATTCAGATGGCCCTGTGGGACCATTAAAATCTACAATTTCTATGCAAATGGTGAATTACTTGACGCGAAATTGCCCATATGCAGCTTCAAACAAATATAAAAAGCATCAAAAAGAATTTAAGTGCAAACTTTGCACAACAATCTTCAAGTTGACCGATATTTGGAATTCACTGAGACAGTGAAACTGTTCAGGCTATATAATCCAAAATCTAAATACTCTAAAAATCATATCATGATCAATACCTTAAATAGTTTTGCCACTCTGGCAGAGAAGGCACATCCTTGTGTCTGTCCACGAAAGTGCCCCTCTTTGGAACAGGAGCTGAAATAAGGTAATTATACTTAAGCCTATTATCAAGATTAAATACAACACAATTTATTCTCTATTCTTCAAACAAGGTAAAAAAGGAGCTACTTTTTATTTACCTGGATTCTTAGCACTCCAATCTGAGAGGACTACAGCTGTGTTTCCCATGACTTAAAGGTTCATGAACTATAAGTATGCTATTTAGGTTAATGATTTGAATATCGGTAGAAGGGGCCAGCAAAGCGATACAGTGCATGTTAATGGTTTTCCTGCACCACTTCCTTGAGGTCAGCCTGGTGTAACCATATATTTTTTTAAATTCTGAACAGCATCCCAATCTTTTCACTTGTTATAACACAAAATATAGCGAAGTTGAGTAAAAAAATTTGAGCTGAGTTTTGAAGACTATATGTCTATATAAAATAAATGAATATACTTATTTAGCTATCATAAAACTGAATAACTATGGCCACCATGTTTGGGCAGGAATAAGATAATAATAATAATTCTATTATACAGTCACATAATTGAGACAATTTTGGCCCCTTATTGGGGGCCGAATATGCGTCTATGTTGAAGTGTCCTGGTATAAAATAATTTAAGGAGAGTTCTCTTAAAACTTTTAGACAATAGGGATAAATACTAGGACCAACTAATTGTTAGTTCCTTTTTCGGAGTCTTTCAGAGTGCCATTATTTGTATTTCATATTTCCCATTGTATTGATTGTATTTATGATTTGATTTATTATTATGATTGATTTATTATTATGACTGTTTTTACATCACTGACCGATTATCTCTCAGAGATTGGTGGTGCTGTGATTGCTCATATTAGTTGTTTCATTGCTCAGACCAATTAAAATTGTATCAGGAGATGAAAAAAAAGAACAACAATCACGGCCTAATGGAAACACTTATGTGCAATATGTTGTGAGAGGCCCTTGAGCAATGAAACAAGAAATTTTCAATGAAACAAGAAACTCAACAATATTATAACAATGAAACTATAACTCATTTCCCGCGATTTAAACTATTGAATCAGATAGCGTTCTATAATACAAGGACTACTCTAAGAATTAGTCTCTGACAAATTTCTTATTGTAAACGTTACAACCAATAGCCTGATCGACTACTGTATATTATTTTTTATAAGTGTGTAATCTTTCAATCTTGCCATTCTTATCTTTTCCGTCGCGTCGATTCCATTTCCATTTCATATTGTTTTCAACAAACTGCATGTACGTCTCCATTTAAATTAAATTTTATATAGGTCCGGCCCCATCAATCAATGTGAAATATAGTATCAAAATTCCACACTAAAGACTCCCAGCACTCGACTTATATTAAGCAATTGACTTATATTAAGCAATTGACGTATTTAGAAGTCGTTATAGATTCATTCATGTCACGTGCAACTAAAACTATGTTTAATTTCTCGTTAGACCAAGATTATTAATGTAACAATTGAGTTTGGGTTTTTCCCCCTACAAATTGATTTCCCTTCTATCTCGCATAAGTGAGAGAAGCAAGAAATAAACTAGACCAGTAGGCTGGATCATGGATGAATTTGTATCACGTCGTGACCCCCATCGTAGTTTCACTACAGTGTAGAGTTTTCACTATACCGTAGAGTTTTTACGATACAGAGGAGCCTGCATTTGCATTTTTCAGAAAAATTAATTCTTACCATAATATTTTTAACCGATTTTTTTCAAGTATTAAATGTTATAATTTTTGACAATTATGAATAGTAATTAAAAGTCTCGTTATTATATATATTTAATAATATTTGTTACTATGATGGTTGTTCTATCACGTCGTGCCCCCTATAGTGAACCCCCTGTAAAGTTTCTACGATACAGGGGAGCCGCACACTTGTGCTCCGCGGGTCTTACATACAACTTAACCATTAACGGGTGATACTCGTAAAATGGTTGTTTCAAACTCTGCGCGCGTCCTGGTAGGTTATAAACCTACAATGTACCTACCTTTGCTCTATCCAGAGCCCTTGCGCTTGCAGTAGCGCGCGCCCGCCTCACGGCGGTAAAAAGGGCTCTAGCCATGAACCCACCCAACGATTTTGGCACCACTCTACAGTGGTGCCAAAATTACCCGCGCTTTTGTCCTCATATGCGACGTGTGTAGCCTTTCAGACATTGATTGCGTAAACGAGGTGTCGTACGTCACCTCAAGATCGGTTGACAGGGGGCTGACCATGCCCAAACCTAATTGATCATTGATTGGGTCTGAGGTCACGTGATTATGAGCCTATGAGGTCACGTGACTATGACGTCACCAGACCTTGTCCTCTGTTTCCCGCTCATTGGACCAGGTGAGCTTGCATGCTTGTGAATGTAGGTGTAAGTACAGCTGTACTGTAGTTCATACCTAATTAACCCCTATACACTGTCAATATGCACTATACACAGGAGGAGCTAAGTGCAAAGAAACTGCCACTAACTGCTACTAACTGCCACTAACTGCCACAAACTGCCACTAACTGCCACAAACTGCTACTAACTGCCACTAACTGCTACAAACTGCCACTAACTGCTACTAACTGCCACTAACTGCTACAATCGCGCCCACGCACTGCGCGCGCCGTTTGCAGCAGTTAGTGGCAGTTAGTGGCAGTTAGTGGCAGTTTTCAGCAGTTGCGCCGCGCTTTTTAGCAATTTGTCTTTGGCGCCTTACATGCCACATGACTTATTGACATTGTATTGGTCTTAAACCAATTTTATATTATTAGAAAATATATGAATTTAGGACAAAATAATTTACCATCGAAGGAAATAAATATTAACTTTTTGACAAGAAAAGCGATTACTAACTTGAGTTACACAAACACTGCATGGCAATACGATTACAAATTGTTTAAATGTTAAATCCGGGTATCGCTATTAGTATTGTGCTATTGTGCCAAAATTACAATATCATATGGTCAATCGTAATCATTTGCAATTTGGAAGACCCATCTGCTGATATGTAAACGACCCCTTATATTAACTTGATTGTAGCAAACCGCGTGATGTTTATTGATCAGCAGTTCGATAGGACGATAGTTATGAGAAAAGCTACAAAACTACAATTTCCATAACCAGTTTTAGAACTAAACGCTTGATTGACGGTTCAGAACTTTATTTGAATAACAGGGCCTCCCACGGATTAAACAGTTTTGTGCGGAGAAAGAAGTGAAGAGAGTACGAAGCCAAAGAGTTCTCCGACAATTGTTCCAGCTAGCCTCACCGCAGCAACGCCAACAGCAAGCAGGGACTTATCCATGCAACCTATACAACGCTGACCAAGAATGGACATGCCACGGTACCACTATAATATTTGCTTTGATTCTCCGTGATAGCACTAGCAGTAGCAGAATTTGCTGCTTGTAATTCCTGGGCGTTGCTGAACCTGTCATTCCGCCCTATCTGCTATAGGCATATTTTTAATCGCCATAATATGTTCAATGTTAAATCAATGTGTTTAACTTAATAAATACAAAAGCCTGAGCGAGGTACCGTTCCCAGGTAAATTCATCTTTGCAACTGCAAGTTGAATTTGCGTTTCTGAAACCACTCTCTGCACTGGTAATTGTATTTAAAAGGGAACACAAAATGATGTACGTGACCAAAATTATTCCCCGCGCGACGCAATTAGATTCTCTTTCAGCATTAACAATTAAGTTTCAGTTTCTGGGTACGTGTGCGTTCCATCTTCTCAGAATTAGGCAACGGTAAGTTTAATCTTTAACTTTAACTGTTTTGAAACAGGTGCTGTTATTTCATGCTGGGAATCCCAAAAAGTGCTTGATCGGCCAGTTCATCATTGTTGTTGGAACCCTGTTCTTGGGTTAATTAAATAACAAATAATACTCAATTATTATAAATACAAATTAGATGAATAAAGAGGTTATACAAATAAATGGTGTTTCAAATGTAACCTTGTTACTCTATGTACTCACCCTCAAGTAGTGAATGAGTGATTGAAATGTGATTGGTGTGACTCAGTAACTCACACTGCTCTAACTAATACACAATTCAATACTAAACTAAATAATGTCTTTTTACTATTAGATTAACCAACTATTAAATTAAAACTACTACTCTGATGATGATGTTCTTCTTACTATATGAGGGACTTCTGAATGATGAGGACTTCAACTAAACTGGAACTGATAACTATAATAAAAAACCCTGGGGGAAAACTACCGTGAGTAAAGTGAAAGGTAATCCACGTGAAACTATAAATGAAAGTGAAAGAGGAAGCGGGAACTCCTAGACTAAACTACTAAACTATAACTATAAACTACTTACCACTCTTTCCACGTCACAGAACACAGATAGTATCTGTCGACTGGAATCTGTGGGATCACTAAAACAACGTCACTCCTCTCCCTTCTGCTACGCTAGAGTCTGGAGTCGACAACGTCACTCCTCTCCCTTCTGCTTCGCTAGAGTCTGGAGTCAACTAAACACTGGACACTCCTCTCTCTTCTGTTACTTCAACTAGAGTCTGGAGTCGAGCCTTGTCTGCCTTCTGGAGTCCCTTTACCCCAACACTGTATATACAATCACTGGAACTAAACCTTTGCTAAAGTGAGATACAGGGTTAGTAATATGTAAGTACAAAAACAAGCTACAAATAGAATTAAGATTCTAACAATTGTGTCTTGCTAAATACCTGGTTAGTTTCATTATGCTTCGACTAATCATCACTGTTGGATTGGGGATGGTATTCAACTGTTGAGGGCCTACTGTAACAGCCATTGATACGCTTATAGTTATCAGACAGCAACTAACTGATATCCAATGGGTCTCAGTCATAGAACAATACAGGCTCAACGGTGGCTCGGAAAAGTATAATCTTCATGGTCTTATATATGATTTTGGTCTATTAGAACGAGTTTGAAGCCAAGATCACGACCTTCTATGACTTTTGCACAACACAGCTTCAATATAAGTAATGACAAACAGGTAGCGTATTCCCTTGCATAACTCCTGCAAGAATGAATTTTTCCATTATAGTGTCGAATCAGGCTAACTTATGGGCCTTGGAATATTATACGGATACCGTAGGCATGCTGTCAGTATGTTCATCAGAATACCCCGAGCGGGTCTCTCTCAACTGATAAGGATCATGCGGTTGAGAGTTTTGCTGACAATTGATGATGGTGATCCATTTAATGTAGTTGTCAGCCTCGGT